ACAGAGAGGAAAACATTTGTGTAGTCCTGATGCACCAGTGACAAGTTGCATGTCTCCTACCCACAAGGCTAAGATCTACCTGCCTTTCACACTGGTTTTTAAGTTTTGCTTTGGAGTCTAAAATTATGGTTGAGTTAAAAAGGCCCTCAGATACCAGGTCTGTGAACAACTGGGATACAAGAAAGAGGTGTTCTGTTTGTCTATGGCACAGAAGGTTAAGTTGCTAGAGCAGCTGAGCATTAGTGTACAACACCATCCAAAACTTACATGGTCTTGGATGAGTATGTCCAACAGTTCAAGGATGGACTGCCAATGTTCTGTGTCAATAAATGATGAAGTTAATAGAAATCAGAGAAATGGTGCAGAAAACATTAAATAATATACAGAACAAGAGATCCATCACTCATAGTGGCCATCTGCCACTTGGGGCTGTGCTGCTCAGTAACTAAGTAAAGATCTGTCTTGACTCAGGAAATGCTCAGGGGATTGGTGAATAATTGATGGGCTGATTACAGAAATGTAAGGAAAGGCTAAGAATTAATGTCTGAAGATTTGAACTGACTAAAGATCTGGATCATGAGGTATGGGAGTTTCCTGGTGGACTTGTCCATCCATACCTTGTTGATGACGATTTCAGCAAGACAAGTCTACCTTCTGGGTAGTCTGTGCTCTGTAGTGCATGAATAGAGTGTAAACCATCAGGGATGGACCAAAGTTAAAGTACTCACTGCTAACAAGAAGGCAAGGGTCACTAAAGATATCTCATTTGCTTTAAAAATAGTTTTCTTAAACAGTAGTTCATGCTCATATGACAAACCTGGACTGGATGAAGACAACAAAATTTTATTATTCATTGACAATGATTCTGCTCATTCCAGGTAAAATTTTCTACAAAACCATCATTCATGCCATGTACTATACTGTAAATGTAACTTCATTGATTCACCCTTAGCTTAAGAATAAATACTTTAAAAAAAAACACACATTGATAGCAGCTAACAGAAACATAGATACGGAAAGTTTCCAGGAAGCTTTTCCTCTCTTCTCCTTTCTACTCCCCCTCTCCTTTCCTTCTTCCCTTCCTCCTCCCCTTCTCCCTCTTCCTCTATCCTTCCTTCCTTCCTTCCTTCCTTCCTTCCTTCCTTCCTTCCTTCCTTCCTTCCTTTTTTCTTCTCTTTCTCTCTTTTTTGTTTTTTGTTTTTTCGAGACAGTATTTCTCTTTGACTGTCCTGGAACTCAATCTGTAGACCAGGCTGACCTCGAACTCACAGAGGTTCATTTGCCTCTATCTCTATAGTTCTGGGATTAAAAGCATGTGCCCCCACTGCTTGGCCCAAAGGAGTTTCTTAAACTCAGGGCATGGTGTAATTCAAGCACTTCAGAGATAAGAAAGAGTCAGGAAGATCAGAAATTCAGGGTCATCCAGGGCTTCACAGAGTTTAAGACCAACCTGTATGCATGAGACTTTGTCTCTAAGAAGTAACAGAGGGGAAGGAGCCTTTGTATAACCAGTGACCTCTTTGCTGTTACCAGTGCTTGGAACATACAATTAAAGACACAGTTGTGCCAGTTTAATATGATTTCTGCCTGGCGGTGATGATTAATATCGAGGATTCTGCATATCAACGGAAATACCTTTAAAATTTTAAATTATGTGTTTTAATTATGTGTTTTGCCTGCATATATGTCTGTGCACCACATTCGTGCCTGGTGCCCATGGAAGCCAAAATAAGGCATCAAATTCCCCGGAACTAGAGTTACATATAGTTGTGAGTCACCATGTGGGTGTTGGTACTCTAACTCAGGTCCTGGGAAGAGCAGCCAGTGTTCTTAACCACTGATCCTTCTCCTGCTCCTGTTCTTCAGAGATTTTTTTTACACATGAAATAAACAAACAAAAGATCAATGTGAGACTCTTACAGTAAGCTGAAAGAAATAGATGTCAACTTTTTAATTTTAATTCTGACATTTCAGTTGTTCAGTCATTGGCCCATGATGAAGTAGTCAAAATGGTTGTGAACAACCATGACTCTGGAAATGGAGGGGAAGAAGATGATGTTAATAACTGCAAAAGATGTTGTTATACACCTTGCAGGGGGCTTAGAGCTGTATGCATTCATGACACAATAAATGTCCAGTTTGAAATCAGATTTCTAAGATAAAACTTGAAAGAAATTTTGCATGTGTGAACCTGTGTTGGTGGGTATGAGTATGTTTGCATATAGAGGCATAGGACAACAGCCTTAGGTGTTGGTCCTCAAGTGCTTTCTGCTTATTATTATTATTATTTTTTTTTTTTTAAGAATTCCTCACTAGCCTGGAACTAGATTCTCTGGCCAGCAAACCCCAGGGAGACATACCTATCTCTGCTTCTCCAGTTCTAACGTTGCAAGTGTGCACACCATACCCAAGCTTACTAACACTGATGGAATTGGATTCAGGTCCTTATGCTTGTAAGGCAAACACAGCAGTGAATAAGCTATCTTGCCAGCACTTGGGGAACTTTTTTTTTTTTTTTAAGATATTGGGTCTTTTGTCATGAGACATAACAAAGGGAAGAATTGCTTAAGTTCATGCTTTCAGAGGTTCCTTACAGTCCATTTAGTCCTGCTGTTTCTGGGCATGTGGTAAGAGAGCATCATGGTGGTAGAGACTGTTTATCTCATTCAGGATGGCATGCAGAGTAAGGGGATATAGAAATGGACCTGAGCAAGATACACAGTGTTCAAATACACACTCTCAGCGACCAGGACTTTGAATAAATTCTGCCTGCTTCCTACCCACCCCACCCCACCCCATGCCATTATAGTAGTATTTTTAGAAAAAATTAAGCCAGATTATAACCAGATGCCCACCAACTGTCAGTCAGGCCCCAGTACTTGGATCTCTGGGACCCTTTCTTTTCTTAAAATTTTTATTTAGGTTAGAAACAATCGTGTTTCACGTGTCAATCCCAGCTCTCTCTCCCTCCCCTCCTCCCCTGCCCTTCCCACCAGGTCCCCCAGTCCCCCACCCAATCTCCACTCCGATCCCCAAGGAGGTTGAGGCACTCCATGGTGGATCCCCAGTAACTGTCATTTCATCCAGGGCGGGGCTAGGCCCTCCCCCTAAGAGTCCCAGCTGAGAGAGCCTCTCATATTGTGGCAAGGCCACACAGACTACCTAGGCCTTGTCACTGACACCCACATTCAGGGGGTCTGGGTCAGTTCCATGCTTTCCACACAGCCACCAATCTGGAGTCCAAGAGCTCCCCCCCCTTGTGCAGGTCAGCTGTTTCTGTGGGTTAAACCAGCCCAGTCTTAACTCCTTTGCCCATCAGTTCTCTCTTTCTGACACTGGATTCCAGGAGTTCAGTTCAGTGTTTGTCTGTGGGTATCTGCCTCTGCTTTCATCAGTCGCTGGATGAAGGTTCCGTTTCCTAGACTCTCTGGCAATGGGATTGTACGCTGGCACTCCCTTGATTCATGTCTAAAATCCATAAATGAGTGAGTGCATACCATGTTTCTCTTTTTGTGACTGGGTTACCTCATTCAGTATGGTTTCTTCTAGTGCCTTCCATTTGCCTGCAGATTTCAAGATTCCATTTTTTTTTTTCTGCTGAATAGTACTCCATTGTGTAAATGTACCACATTTTCTCTATATCCACTCTTCAGTTGAGGGGCATCTAGGTTGACTCCAGGTTCTGGCTATTACAAATAATGCTGCTATGAATGTAGTGGAACAGACATCCTTGTTGTATGAATATGTATCTTTTGGGATCCTTTCAACAGCTATTCAGCAGACTATCTCCTTTTCACTAAGGAAGGGACTCATTTCTAGATCCCTCAATTGCTCCAGATTTTTCTTGTCACCCTGAACAAAGAAAACCCAGCCATATGTGACAGCACATGGTAGCATTTGGGACACTAAGACAGAAGGATTTTGAGATTGAGAACAATTTGAGCTATACAATGGGACCCTGACTGAAAAATATATTCAAACTGGAACAAATTGTACAATAGTCTTTTGCCTTTTTTGGTTGTGAGTCTAGTCTTTAATGACTGAGCCGTCCCTCTAGCTCTACAATACCCCCTGGTCATATAACAGCACCACAAGTAAGGATTAAAAACCCGCCATTGGTTGCTGTTAATCTGGTATTAGTACCCTGGAGCTCCTCCTCTGCTGCCTGGTTTCCCTGGACACATCTTATTACCGGAGTGACAATATTCCTGTTATTTACATGTGAACAGGTGTAAGAAAATAGTAATTTATTGGAAGCGTATAAATTCAAACAAATATAATATCGATTCCTAATAACTGCAGATTGCTAACATGGTTGGTATAGTATTATCTTTGCTTCCTGTTGGCACAATACACACTATATTTAATACAATAAATTATTGGAAATGTTGTATAAAGATATCTACAGATTGTATTTGTAGAGTCTGGAGAAATGGCTGGGTGGGTGAGTACATCCTGCCCAAGTGTGAGGACTGGAGTTGAGGTTCCCCAGCATCCACACAGAAGCTGGCACAGTGACAGGCATCTGAAACACTGGGGTGGGGGTGGAGGTATGGGTGGAGATAGGTGGATCCCTGGGCCATATTAAAAAATAGCATGGGAGGTAATTAAGGAAGACACTGAAAATACCACATAGAAATTTGAATTGTTATAAGAGCCACAAACAAGGATTGCACTGATCTCCCTAAAGATTATAGAATACTTGAAAAGTGATTACCCTTTGGCTTGTTTAATATTGAACCTACCTTTGTTTCCTTCCAGTGTTGTATGTTGCTGTTCTATTCAGTGAGGAAAATAACATTTGTGTGATGAACAGTACATTTTAATGTATGTTGTTTCCCCAACACTAGTGTTAGAATTTGGGTTGTGTTAGAACTGCTCCCAGACTTGATGCTCTTGATCATGTTGTTCCCCTTATTTTAATTTCCAGTAGGTGCTGTTCACAGAGTTCATTAGGCTCAGAAGGATTTTTATGCTGTCTTGTTTTTTCCCTTGTTTAGAAATCGAAACGAGTTGGCTGAGACTCTTGCCCTCCTGAAAGCACAAATTGATCCTGTACTATTGAAAAACTCTAGCCAACAGGAAGACTCTTCCCGGGAAAGTCCCACTCTAGAGGATGAGGAGACTAAAAAAGAGGAAGAAACACCTAAACAAGGTTTTTTTGTGTGTTTTCTTTTGCTTTGTTTTGTAATCTCTTCTATTTTCTATTCTTCCACTCAACTATATAATCCTGAATTTTTACCTTAATCTTTCCAATTGATAGCCTTCTTATAAAAGACTTTATTTCAAAGGGGAAAAAAGTCTGTTCTTTCAAACACTTAAATCAAGTATGTTCAAGTCATTAGCATGTGTTTTACTAATTTAGAATCTTGGCAGGTGTGGTGCCACTTGTACTCTGCACACTTGGGAGGCAGAGCAGTAATAGTACTAAGATGTTTACTGAACTTGTTCAGGACGTGGAAAGATAGATCAGAGACTTGACAATTTTAAACATTTTTAGGCTTATAGGGTCTGGAGCATTTCGGTCCTACACTTACTTAGCTTACATTGTAGTCCTACCCCACTAAGTGTCTGAACATGTTAAACATTAAGATCCTGTTTTCTCCGTCTGCAGCCCTGGGATCTGCTTCCTGTCTGTGAATTTGATTACTGGGAACCTAAGAAGAATCAAAAACTACTTTCGCTTGTTTCACTTAGCGTACTGTCTCCAGGTGTCTGTGTTAGTATATGTGTGATGGTTTCCTTTCTCTTTAAGAACAAATAATTCACTGTGTAGGTACCACATCAGTGGCAGTTTACATTACTTCCTACTTAGGCTGTTATGAGTAATCCTGCCATGAATATACTAATACAAATACCTCATTTAGTTATACTTACGCTACACACCTATGGGTGAAATTGCTAAATCTTATGATAATACTGCTTCATTTTTGGTGGCCTTACCATATTGTTTTCTTTTCTTGAGGCAGAGTCTCACTGTATAGATCTGGCTGTCCTCAAATTCTCATCTTCCTCTGCCTCCCCAGTTAAAGCCATAAACTGTCACTCCCAACCTTTTTTTATTTTTTTTTTGATTATTCATCCTCATAAATGTGAAATGCTGTCTTGTTCTAGATATTAGTTCCTAATGACTAATGGTGTTCAGCATCTTTTCAAAAGCTTATTGATCTTTCATATATCTTTGAAGATGTATTTATTAAATTCCTTTGCTGTTTTATGTTCTTATTGTATGAGTTAAGTATCACAGTGTTTCTCATACTGGTCTTGAGCTCCTAGGGTAGGTAATCTTCCTGCCTCAGACAGAGTAGCTGTCCATTTTTCTGAATGGATTTTTGTTGTTGTTGTTAATTTATTTTTTACATTCCAATTCCAGTTCCCCCTCCCTCCTCTCCTCCTGCTCCCTCCACTCTCCCTCACCTCCTATCTGCTCCTCAGAGAGGGTAAGGCCTCCCCTAGGAAGTCTACTAAGTCTATCCCATCATCTTGTTGAAGCAGGTGTTGTTTGTTTTTCAAGCTGGAGTGGATTGTTCCCTTTCGTTGTATTCTTAAGTCTATGACAATTATAGTTACTAAACCTATTTTCATTGATTTTGCCAATTTTCTATTCCAGCAAATGAAATCTCTTTTTGAAGGAAAGAACCAAGTACTGACTTGTAGAAAAGAAGTCAGCTAATTCCAGTGCATATTCATGGTGCTAGGGCATGTCTGTGTACATGTATGTGAAGGCCATTCATTCCCTATTCACCTTTTTTTCTTGAAAATGTCTGTTACATTAGGTCCTGGGATTCCCTGATTAGGCTACACCTGCTGGCAAGTGAGCTCTAGGAATTCTCCTCCCCAGCACTTGGATAACAAACATAAGCTGCCACATCAGGTTTTTTTGTTTTCTTTTTTTTTTTTAATGTTGGCTCTGCAGAGTAAACTTGAATGTGCACCACACTTTCTGAACTGAGCTATCTTCCCACCTAAGTTGATATCTTTAGTATATGGGGGGGGAGATTACATACTTATTTTTAAAAATTTATTTGTTTATTTGTTGGATTTTCAAGACAGGATTTCTCTGTGTAACAGTCATGGCTGTTCTGGAACTCACTGTATAGACCGGGCTGGCCTTTAACTCACAGAGACCCACCTGCCTCTGCCCCATTTGTACTGGAACTAAAGGCATGTGCCACTACCACTGGTTTTAGTTATATTTTTTCTTTTTAATATTGGAAGGAATTTGTATTTGCATGCCCTGTCATGTTGTCTTCCACTAAAAGCCTTTGTTTTATGTTTTACATTGTGTTTTTTCTTTGCTTTGATGCTTTGAAGAAACGATCCATAAAACAACCCCTGTATGTAGGAAACATTGCTTGAAAACAAATAATCAAGTCTCCTTGTAGTGAATGATATTTCTATACATTAAGCATTTCTGTAGTTTAGATCCTAATTATCATGTTTCTTTGACCATTGTTCATATGATCTCAGTTACTGTTGGTCGTCCTACTAGTAAGCTATGTTTTCACATATAACAAATATTTGGGCTGCTTTGGTAAGGCATAATCATTTTAAAGTACATCTGTATTCTAGATGGGTTTGTTATTTTTTTCCTGCTTTGTATTTATTTGTTTGTTTGTTTGTTTGTTTCTTTTTTTAGTGGCTTGCTGTTAAGGATTAGTTCTGGCATAAAGTCTAATACTATTTGTTCATTTGGTTGTTCAGTTTTGACATTCATTCATTCTGTGTATTTGCTTATTTCCAGCCATAATAAGAAAATCAAAGGGGTCGGACATGGGCAGCACACACTTTTAATCCCATCAGCCAGCATGGGAGGCAGAGGCAGGTGGATTTGAGGCCAACCAGGACTGCATGTTAAGACCTTGTCTCAAAAAATAAAGGCTGATCAAATGAATGAATGAATGAATGAATAAATAAACAAACAAAAAATAAATGGGTTGGAAAATTAACTCAGTGGTTATTCTTCTGGACACAGTGGCTCTCAACCATCTGTAACTGTATAGTGCGCTCTTCTGGCCTCTGAGGACACTAGGCATGCACATGGTGCACAGATATATATAAGATAGAAACTCATACACAACTAAATAATTAAAAAGTAAAAGTCACAGAATATTGGTGGGAACAAAATATATATATTCTTCTCTGTGTTGCTCTGGCTGTCCTGGAACTCACTTTGTAGACCAGAATGACCTCTCACAGAGATCTAGGATTAAAGGTGTGTGCCACCACACCTAGCTGCAAAATCGAAATTTAAGTGGCAGTTAACAGGGTTTAGGAGACTTGAAAAACTTTTTTTAAAAAATTTATTTATGGTGCTGGAGAGTTGGATCAACAGTTAATAGCACTTTGGTACTCTTGCAGGACCCAGGTTTGGTAGTAAAGTTTTTATATTTCTTTTATTATCGTGTGGGTGTGCACATGCACAAGTGAATGTGTGCCGTGTGTGCACAAGCACTCTCCCCCCCCCCCCCAGGCCCTTGTTGACCCTTCCGAGTAAAGGAAAACTCTTCCTATCGCATAATTCAAAAATTCCTCTGTGGGACCTCAGAGTAGGGGAGGGGGAAAATGTGATGTGCAGGAGCATTTGTTAAACTTATGTGTGCTCATTGTCCCCATGAGGACATTAGTGGGCATATATTGACTGTAACTGTTGATGCCTTTTTGCAAGGAACCTGTGTGATGCTGCTGCACTTGTCAGGTGTGTATGGGGAGGAGCACAGCATGTAGAAGCTGTTTTCTCCTTTCTCTAAACACGCGTACCAAGGCATTTGTTCCCCAGACACTTCTCAGCACATGCAGCTGGTGTGCTTCCTGATGAAAAGAAATGGTGGTGTGTGATGGAGAACGTCTCTCGAGAGAACGAGGAGGAGCAGGGTATTGGGTTCTGTTCTCTCCTCTTTCATGGCATCTAAGTGGAGCTCAGTGGAGAGTACCTGGTGAGCCTCACGAACTGCAAAAACTGAAGACAAAATCAACAGAGCGTTTCTGCATCACTTTATTCTGACAAACCTTTATGTTTAAAGATTTTTTTTTCCTTTCTGAAATGAGGTCTCTCAATGTATTATCCACCCTAGTCTTAACTCTTGGACTCAGGGGAGTTCCCAATAAAATGTTTCTAATTCATTTTTATAAATATTGGACATCTTCTTTTGATGAATCATACTTTCTTGCAAGGAAGTTCACTGAACAAAGCACACCAAAAATAGTTGTTTTTATGAAAATTACACTATGTTGGACAAAATAACTAACTGGTGTGCCATTTTGAGCCTGCTTTGTTCTAAACAATGCTAGACTGCATAATCTGAAGTTTTCAGGAACCCAAGTGGGTATCAGAAACTGTAGATAATGCTGCAGCTTATATATGTCAAAAGTTCTTCCATACAGGTACATTTTAATTTATAAATTCTGTACAGTGAAAAGATTAAAAAATAAGATAGAACCCTCTAACAATATGCTGTAGTTGGTTACAGGGATATGGTCTATCACTTGCTCACCCCCACTCCTCTGTATTACCTTTTTTCCTTTAGGGTTATTCTTGACTAGGTAACTCAAGCCATAGAAAGTAAAACTGTAGACAAAGGAAACCTACTAGGTATAATTACTTCATTTTTCCAGATCAGGGAAATAAGACAGACTATTCTAAGTAGCTTCCCTTAGGTTGCATACTCTGTTATTGACAACCTCGGTATTCTAGGTGAGGTTGTGAGTATATCCAGAGGTCAGTGTTGATTCTCTGCTTAATTTTTGAAATACAGTCTTTCATTGAACCCAAGCCCTCCATTTCGGCTGTAATGGCTGCCCAGCTAGTGCCAGTGACCCTCTTGTGTCTGCCTCTCCAGCTCGAGGCTAAAGGCAGATATGCATGCCAGTGCTCAGGTTTGCCGTGGCTGCCCGAGTACTTTCCCGAATGAGGTGTCTCTCCCCAGGGCTTCTGAGCCTGTTGATGCTACACTTTTTTATAACTTAAGAGGTAGTGCACCCTTTAAAACCTTATCCCTTTGCTGTCTTCTCTGATGTAGATGCTGTGACCATGATCTGTCCTAGGGTGAGGTTAAAGAAATGCAGTTCTTAGTTGGTCACTTAATCCCTCTTGTTCGTGAGCAAATATTGCTGGTGGACTTGGTAGGAAATAGGTACAGCCTTCAGCAGTGTGTT